CGCTCCCTGTGGCTTGCTCCAAAAACACAGCTGTGCGTTCACACCCTGGTGGAGCATGGCCCTGACTGTGTACCTCTGTGTGTGTGTGTGTGCAGACGGGTGTGTGCCAGCAATGTCTAACTGTTACTGCTGGAGCAAATAGGGGTCGGATAGAATCACAAGAATAGACATGTGACGTGATTATGACAGGCGTAGCTCAGGAAGGTAGGATGATGACAGTTATTCCAAACATGTGATGTGTCACGGTGACTGCTCGAGTTTTCTTTTGCTGTGTGATTTTAATCTTTTGAATCATTGTTTTACAGGTTTAGGGCCCTCCTGATGCCACGTCTTCTTACAAAATACTTCTGTTGGTCTGGAAAGGCAGAAGTATATAGTGCTGCATTCTTAAATGGTTATCCTCCCTTGATATACATCCAAAACATAGAAGTCTTAATGTATATAAAAGTTTCTAGAGTGGTTGGATTTTTCCAGTATCAGAAGCTAAGGACACTAATAGCAGTTGAGTTTGATTAGAGAAAATGACATCGTATTAAATACAGTTTATCAGCGCAACAATCATAGTTTCTGTATGTATTTGAAAAGCCAACAACATTTTACAGCTTTAGAATATTTCACCATCCCTAGCAGGTGTGTGCTGCAGCCCCCTTATTCCAGCGCCCTTGTTTACGAGCATAGACTTTTAATAAAGATGAAAGATAAAGTGAAGCCAAAATATAATTCATCTAGTGAGGTAACATGAATATCTTAATCAAATTTGTGTCGTTTTAAATTAATACTATTGAGACTTTTAAGTCACCCAAAACAATTTGGCTTTGGCGTCAACAAACAAATCCAATAGGAGTCATCTTCTTGGAAAACAGACGTCTACAGTCATCATTACAATACATCAAACAGTTGTAGGAATAAACAGAGAGAGAGAGAGAGACAGAGAGAGAGAGAGAGAGAGAGAGAGAGAGAGAGAGAGAGAGAGAGAGAGAGAGAGAGAGAGAGAGAGANAGAGAGAGAGAGAGAGAGAGAGAGAGAGAGAGAGAGGACACTGTCAAACTGCAGCACTCCAGCACATCATTCAAACGGACAGGACCTGATATGCCTGTAAATGTACAGTACTGAGACACAGCCTCAGGGGTAGTGTTGTGTTATGTACAGGTGTTATTAATGCCAGTGTGTGAGCTTGTCAGTGGAGCAGGTTTGGTGTAAACTTGCTCGGTTCCTCTCTGGGACATACTGTGCTCATACTAACACATAAAATGCGGAATAACTCCCACTCACAGGTAAACAGAGAGAGAACAGATAAGCATCTCAGCTCCCAGCGGCAGGCGAATGTAGATACAAAATACAAGCTCCAAACATGCTCTTGATTCCCCGTCTGTGGCAGACAGATGGCAAGAACGTGAGATGATGACAAATTGTTTTCACAGCCAAGGGGAGGAGGGTTTCAGCTGTGACAAGTGTGCGAGTGCTGCCTCAGCTCGAAAAACCAAAGGTTCAAAATGCTAATGTGGTAACTGTTATCTAAGATTTACTCTCCAGCAAAAGGTCCATCAGAGGGCTCTCAGGACAAATCCCTGAGTATATTTACCACGGAATTAGTAAGACAGGTGGGAAGATTAGAGGAGCGCCCAGTTTGATGAAGATAAGCTCAGGCTCAGGCTGTCTCCTCGTAAGCCTGAGCCAAATCCAACTCAGGTTTAGACCATCACCAATGAGATGGACTTGATCCGAAGAATAAGAGGCAGCTCCTTGAGGTGTGGTAACATTGTGCTCAGAGCTGTAAGTCATAGAAAAGAATGGTTCATGTCAATGACAGGACAGAGGACGTTAAATCCAGAGTACAGATGAATCCGATGATTTACCTGTGATTTACCTTTGAGAGAAAAAACTCAGACCAGCATTATTACTACAGGATAGACGTGGAAATGCAGTGTGGAATTTCTAGCAATCTCAGACATAATTTGTCATCGTGTCAATGTAATGACAAAAGACAACAAGTGGCTTTGGTCCTTACTAGTGTGAACACTGCATTTGAATGTTTAGAGATCACAGATTGCATATAAAGATGGACGACATCATAGTTCCCCAAAAGTGAAGCTGAGTCTAGATCGCCCCCCTGGTTGGTGGCTGCATACACCATAAACCCAGCCGCCTTCATGTTACATGGACCAAACTAAAAAGTCAAAATACACGTTAAATAACCATTTTTTCCCCAAGATTTGTTTCTCTGATTTTTGGTAGTTCCTATCACATCAGAAGCTTGATTTTAATAAGTTATATAATGCCATAAAAAAAGCTGAGACTGACTCAGGCTCTTATCCACCACCCAACTCATGAAATATACAGCTCTGTTTCAAACAGTGTCATTCTTAGAGCACTGATACAATTTAATGTGGTGTTTGTGTTTTAAATGGCAGGATACAGCAAGACTTTTCTGGTATCATTATATGTGCACCACTGAAGTGTGTAGAACTTTGAGTTAAATTTGTTCTATTCCACAGGTTAACTCCTCCTTTCAAAGCAAGACATCCCATGGTCCAGTCACTGATCGTGCCCAGTCAGGGACATTTGGACACTGGGGAACCTGAGGACAGACACTGTGGTTCCAGTGGGGACATAATTGCTCACACTTCCTGTGAGAGAACCAAACTGAATAGTCCTCTCAGTCTGGGGTGGTGAAGCAACGGCGGCTCCCAGCACCAACCTTTGCACCACAGTCTGAGCTCAAAGTTTGCTGCTGGATCCCAGAATAGCTGAAGACAAACGGTGCATGTTAATAATCTGTGGAAAACATGGGGAGACAGCGGAGGCGACGCAGCAGGATGTTCGAGTGCTGCTGTGCTGAGCGTCAGTGTTTATATATGGAGCTGTGGTAACCACTGAGTGTGCTGTGCATGCGGCAACTGTCTTGTAGTGACACTGGAAACAGAAATAGATCAAAGTTCGCCTCCTCTGTTGAGAGCAATTGGTTACAGTGCGCTGGATAAACTCTCAACGTGCCCTTTGACATTTGAAGCTCAAAGGAAGTAGTTAGTGTTATTTGCTCGTCATGAATGGTGTTTCATGTGTACACTGTTACTGTGTGTGGTCTGGCCGATGCACACAGTCAAGAGGCTTCAGAGGATTACAGTTGTTTTGTCTTTACACAAAATGTAGCACTTGTATTTGATCAGCAAACCTTAAAGTGAGAAGCTGAGGGACTGGTGACCTGTTGGATCAAGTTACACAGACCTGCACTGTCAAACGAGCTGTACAGACAGACAGACACACACACACACACATATATATATATATTTGATGTAGTTTTAGTGGGAAAGGTTTGGTCAGATAATGATACACAAGCATCTGGTTTCATGCATTGTCATGATGGACGTTCAAACAGTAAGGGGATGATTATAAATTTGAACCTGTCATGTTGTTGCTGTCATTTTCAATAAAATTTTAAAAACATTAATGTTACCACTGTTTTATCAAACAAAACACAAAGCTCTAGATACTTTTTGTAATTTGATTATTTTATAGATGAAAGAATTATCAATGATTTAGAAAATAATCAAGGGCTGAGTTGATAATGACAATAGTCCTTAATTCCTGCCCTACTTGGCTCACTGGCTGAAAATTATGCATTGACCTTAATTTTGAACAAAAACACATTCACACCTCACTGTGTTTTGCAGACATGCTTGGGTGTGTCAGACTCTCCCTTTATGGTGAGGAGATTAGGTCGTTAATCCTGTAGATCTCAGAGAAAAAGCCACTCCTGATACCACAATGGATTTAACTCAGTGCACCAGGGAGAGGACAGACCTGCTGCTGATACGCATCTCGACCTCTGACAGGCAGGCAGGGCCCACACACACACGCACACACACACACACACACACACACACACACACACACACACACACTTCACCAAGGTCAGGATATTATATTACATTATGTATTGGATCCATGCTATAAATAACCCCACAACCATATTGAACTAATATCATAAAGTGACATGTATGTGTAATATATAGTATGTAGACTAACTTTACATGTTGTGTATTAACAAAAGCAATATTTCCCCCCACAATGCACTGTATTGCTTGAAAAACACCATTATTTCAGACTCTTCACTCTTCATGACACCACATACAATCCCAAAGAATGATTGACTAATTTAACGATTGAGTCATTGGAGGGTGGATGAGCAGCCTTCCTATCTGATCGCAGATCGCTCCTAATGGACCAATTGTCTCCAAGCATGACTGTAAAATGTGACTGTACACAGTTCAATTTTGAGTATTACTGTGAATACGAGACGACTCAGATTGAAAAAGTTCCATCCAGCTCAGCAGTTGTACAGCTTAAAGGGATAGTTCACCCAAAAATGACAATTCCCTTATGATCTGCTGTGCCAATGGAGAGGTGGGTGAAGCGTTTGTGTTCCACAAAACACTGTTGTAGTCTCAGGGGTAAACAGTGCTGCAGCCAAATCCAATCCAATTTAAGTAAATGGTGACCGATTCTTTAAACGTAAAAAAACAAAAGAAACAAAACATAAAATGCCTCCAAGTGTCTGTAAGCCCTGACATTCACATGTGACTGAAAACAGCATCATTTACGCCGTGTTTTAGCCTAAATGTGCTACAGCTGTGATCCATGCACTAACACGGCTCCAGAGGACAACCCAGGAGCAGTATGGAGGCATTTCATGTGTTTTTTTATGTTGTTTCTTTACATAGACGAATCCGTCACCGTTAACTTAAATTGAATTGGATTTGGCTGCAACGCTGTTTACCCCTGAGACTCAAACACTAGATATTAAGTGATCTTTCGGTGACCTTCAACCATACAAGGGATATTCACAATCTGATCCTATACTCTATTCCAAATAAATACTTTATTCCACATTAGACATGGACCTCTGTGTCTGCAGTCAAGTTGAAAATAAGGTTTGAAGTGGTTTTTATCTTGAAAAGACACATCGCCGGAAGTTGTAAGTGAAGTTCCGGTGTGAGGCAGCTAGCTTGTGGGTGTTGTAGCGGCAGCGGGGTGACAGCTGAACGGGAGGCGGAGGAGCAGCATCGCGGTCCGGAGCCCCAACAACAGTCGCGACGAAAGCCCCGGTTTCAAGAGCCGCACCGACGCGTTTCACCGCGAGACGCCTTCCTCCAACCACCGGGGGCCGGGTGTGACTTCGCCAGCGGACGGTGACGCGGAAATTAACGCAACTCGGCTCCTTTTTCACCGAGAGAGACGGAACAGGCTCCGTGTCCGGATGTGCCAGCCGTGTTGGGTGTTTCGCGTGGCGCAGGCACCTTTTTCCTGAAGCGGGGTATCCTTCGTGTTCGCTGGGGTCGGAGGAGGCCCTCGGGTCGGCACCTTATCCCGCTAACGCCCCTCGTATACGTCAGGGAAATCTCAAACCGATTGAACGACATGATTGTGCAATAAGACAAGAAGAAGAAGAAGAAGAAGAAGAAGAAGCCGCGCACGTACTGACTGATCCAGAGAAGAAGAAGAAGAAGTCGTCTGTGTGTTTTTGTTTCCTTCCTTTTAAAACCACGTCGTGTTGTTTCAAGGGAGAAGGAACGAGGGAGTAATCGTGTCCTTGTGCATGAGTGTGTGTGAGTGTGAGTGTGAGTGAACCCCTCCGAGGACCGGGTCAACCTTCGAGATGACGGGCAGCACCCCAGCGGACATGGTGAGATCATCTGCCGTCACTTTCTCAACACTTTAAGACCTCCATTTATTCCCGCAGGGTTTTTGAGCAAAAACAGCTGATGAGTCAAAGCTGTGGTCTCTCCACGGTGTTGGTTTGGAAGCGAATGTGAAGTTGAGTTTGTGGATCCAAACCCTGAAATACCTGGTCCATAGGAATGTTAGAAATCCTTCTCTGTGCTACATGTACTTGTATTCATTGGGTCCCAATGAGCTCCCTATAGTCTCCATTGACACTCTCTCAATACTCATGTAATCCATCATATCGATCATCACGTCTCCATTCATGTCTCTGAGTCACATCGTTGTTGTGTGGAGGTGATCTACATCCAGGAAGTGGGAACAAAACTTAAATTAAGATTACATTGAAATTAGTATCAGTTATATCAAAGTCAACTGGACATAGACGGGATTGAAATGCGGTTTCTCTCTGATCCCTGGTGTAAACATATTAGACAGAACATAGAAGTTCGCAACATAATGAGTACTCAAAACATAGCACACAGTAAGTCATGGTATGCAGCCATGAGGCACACGGTGGATAGGATGAGAGTAGTTCGATAATTGTCACGATAAATGTTACATTATATTTCTTTACGTTGAGTAATTGCTATTTTTTAAAAGTTTCAATGCCGATTTTTCGCTCCTGAGTGAAGGTTGTGGTTTTAAACTCTTCTCTTTGGGCAGAGAAAGAGAGCGAGCACAAATCTTTTACAGACAAGATAAGATATGATATGAACATTGAAATATTCTACAAAAGGCTGTGTTTCTAGAGTGCAGTATAAAGATAAAAGTGGCGCAGTTTGTCCAATTCCGTAGATCATTAATGTTTTAAACCTCGCTGTGCTTCCTCAATGCAGAAGCAATATATTAGTTATAGTTATATTGCTGTTGATGGAATGACTGATATTGTTTTATTGCTCAGCCCCACTTGAAATCAGAATCAGAAGTACTTTATTAATCCCTGTAGGGAAATTCAAATGTTACAGAGCACCTGAGAAAGAGGCGAAACAGCGAAAGCAGGTGTAAACATAGCAATATAACAATATAATACTTGATATAAATACTTGAAAAGTTCCAATTACTTCATGATAATAATGCTAATATATAAAAAAGGCAAATCACCAATGACATAATGTTTTGTATTATTCAAAAGTAAACAGCCTGAGTTTCCGTCATTCAAATCTAACATTCCCCTCACATCCGGCCCCAGAGCTCTTATCAAACCGAGGCTTTGTCTGCTGTGGGTTTTATGTTTGACATTTAGCGAAAACCTCCAGCATCACAGGAAGCAGAGCTGGGAAGATACAGGAGTTCAGGAGGAGGCGAGGTGCTGCTTTGCTGGCTCCGAGTGTGCACTGACTGATAATTGCACTGCTGCTAACACCTCATTATGTCACACCTAGTGGTGCTTTAAAAAGGGAGGCTGAATTGTGACCTTAACTCTGGTCATCAACTGGAATTATTTTACCAGTCTACCCTGATGAGATGTTATCCTCATTTGACTTATCTCCTTGTTCCTTGTGTGCTTCCCTTTATGAACTCTCATCATAAATGTTTATGTCAGCCTCTCGTGGGTAAGTTATTCTACAAATTAAAAGGCATATAAAATGCATTTAGCCGGGTCTACCCAGCCGTAGAGGTAATATTTCCCCTCTGTCAGTTTTATTCATGTCATCTTGGCTGCCTGTGTGTGTTGGCTCTAAGAATACCTCCAGGTGTATGTATAGAAAGGATAATCCACATAATGGGCCCCTCCACACACAGATCAGCTGTCCCAGCTGTGCCTGTACGCCTGCATGTCCGAGTTTAGCTGATCCCCTGAACAGTAGGTCCATTACGGTGTCAGGAAGCTGCGATGTAATGCAGCGAGGAAGTTGGTGTTGTGCCGGCCTCCATTTGTATGTATATGTGGCTAAAGCTCAAGCATCTAAGTATAGCACATTTCAAGGAAACTCCATGGATTATGGACGTAATTGAGAGATGAATCTTTCATTTTCTGATCTGTTATGACTGGTCGCTAAATCCTCGTCCTAAAGAACATTCATAGAAGGTCTTGTGTTATGTCACCATGTGTATGAGTGCGAGTGTGTTAGGCATCATATGAACGTCACCCACAGTGGTATGGTTGTGTTGGATGGGTTCCAATACTTTGGATCTAGAAGTCAATGTGACAGCTACAAAACATAATATTTGCAGGAGCATGAGATCACATGTCTTCCATCCAACATTTGATGTGCAAATAAGAATTTCAGGCGTTTTTTTTTTTTACACGAATGTTGCAACGTATTCTGTGACCCCCATAATATTCTGTGTCCTCTAGCAGTGCAGCAATGAATTTGTCCAGGGTGATGCAATTTTTTGCTGACCATGGTTCTTAATTTTGTACACTACAATGACAACATTTTGTTCTGTTTCTATTCTAATAAGTGCCCTGTGCTCAATGTCAGTGTTTTAAAAAAAAAAATTAAATTCACTGAATGATGAAGTAGAATCAACTTATTCATAATTTTTCCTTGCGTCCTTTTTCCTTAAGCTTCTTTGACCTCTGCAGCTGTAGCGCGGCCCCCTGGTGAGGAGCAAAATGAGTCGGGGGGGTGTAATGAATGGCACAGTGTGGTGACAAAATATGTGGTGAAAATCCCTAAAACGCTTTCACACAGCAGAAGGACCACGGTTAAGCATTGATCGTCAATTACTGTATAATTAGTGTAAAGCTATGTTCCAATTCACTCTTCACTCAAGGACTGAATTGAAATGATACAGATTGGTCTATGGAGGATTTCTGATTAGAGTCACCAGCTTGTCTGTACTGAACCATTGCATTGTTAGCTACCCTCAGTCGTCTGCATAGCTAGCTCCTTCGTCACAGGCGCGCACTGAATCCTGTGATAGATTGGCAAGAGAGGAGGACTCGTTTGAAGGAGCCTTCGGAATGGGATTGTCTTCAGATGTTGCCTCTGAATGATGCAGTCCTTGAATCTAGACACATATAGACCCAAATCCTGTCGTCTTTTTTTTCTCTTTTTACACAAAACATGTGAAGTTGATTTTGTTGTGCTGAGTGAGGTTTGTTTTCACTCTCCGCCAAACAAACTACTTTCCAAAGGGCAGATTTGTCACTGGATTAAGATTTAATATATACTGCTGACCCTCATCCTCAGTTTTGACCGCCATACTCCTCCTAATAGTATTTTCCTGGTGTATTAGTCATAGCATAAGATTATCCAAGTTTGGTTCAGGCCTCCAGCCGCCCTGCAGAATTGCCTTGAAGCAACATGCTGAATTCCTGCCAGCTGGTTTTACAGCTCAGCCTGATCTGCGCTCCGAGTATTTCCCTGTGGGGGAAGCATTATCGCATCATTTAATGCCAGTGTCGGGCAGTAAGTTAATTTCTCCAACGATAAAGTAATAATATTATTTCAACTGCCAACTCTGAGACAATCTCTTTTTGAATGGTATTTTATTCTTTGCTGGAGCTGCCGTCTTCAGGCTCACGTTATTATCATACCAGCAGCGGAAACATAAAAGGTCAAACTCGGCACATGAGTGAGACGTTTTCAGCCAGTGTAAATCTTCAGAGCAGTTGCTTCCCTTTGTGGTTTTGCTCAATCTATACATCAAACTAGCTCCTTATGTTCCCCGAGGAAATCTGAGGAAATATCAGCTATCTGCATTTAACTCATCCTGTGTGGTTGAAATCAGCAGCAGATGATTTCAACCACACCGCCACCACCAGCCCTCCTCCCCATCCCCTCTTCGTCTGCGGAAAGAGGAGTATGCACACACCCATTAAAAAAGGCTGTATGTAGTGGGAGTCAGGAGTAGGAGGAGAGGAGATTGCTGGTGCCAAACATTGTGGCTGAATGAATCTGAGAGAAAGAATAGGAGAAGGAATAGTCGTGCCCCTCGAGAATGGAGGATGGGATTTTTTTTTTCTCGAGAGGATGGGGAGGGGGCAAATTACCTCGCCCCAGGCAGATCTCAGAAGTGCTGACAGGGTTGAAATGGTTCCCCTGGCAACAGAGAAATGCTCAGATCTGAAGTCTGGATGCCTGTGTGTGTGTGTGGAGGGACTGGGTCAAGGTGCACTGCAGGTATGTATGTGTATGTGTGTGTGTGTGTGTTTGAAACAACGAGCAGATGAGAATAAAGCACCTCATTTCAGATATAAACCTGCTGTATGAATATACTCCCGACAGGAGTGAGAGTCCCATGGAGCAGGGAGTGAATGTCAAACATCAGCGATATGTCCCAGCACAGCAGACGGGACAAGGACATCCAGGTCGACACAGAAAGAAGGACATGACTCACACTTTCTTACAGGGCTTTACAAGTGGGATTAGTTTACTAGTGCTGAATAAAATACACAAGTTAGAAAAATGGGATTCAGTTATCTGCTTCTTATCAGGGAGTCTGTAATGACGCAAAAGGCAGACAGGAGCGACTGTCGCTGCAGTTTGAACCTGTGTTCGTTTGCAGGCTGTCAGTGCTATCAGTTTGGGAGCACAGACTTTATCGCTCTGTACACTTCAGCCACATCCATACTACTTTGTTTTCATTTGAACATGTAGTATTATGGTAATAGTAGTACAGTAAAAACATGACTGTGAGGCTCCTCAGCTCTACATTCATACGTTTGATCCTGACATGTTATGAAGAATTAAAGACTGTTGCTACATGTACACACACAGCGGGTTGTATTCAAACACCACTTCGTTTGTGCGGTAGTGAGTATGTGTTAATTTGGAGGTGGTGATCCTGATGGCCCTGACTCAAGCAGACCAGGACGTGTTTGTAATGATCAACAGGTTTGCGACGATCAGGAATCTCAATTTAGATTTTTGACTTCTACACCACAAGCTTACAGAATCATAAACTCTTGAAGGAGAAGGAACCGAAGAATCATTTGACTTTATTAACAATGATTAAGTTCTTTGACCGTCATTCATTTAGACAGAACCTGCACCACATTAGCACTTT